AAACCGCTGTTAAGCGTTTTTTTACTTTTTGCCTATATCTACTGCTTGTCAGCAGTAGATATAGGCAAAAAAAACGGAGGCTTTAGAACCCCTTTAAGTTGCAGATTAAATACTTGCACATTAGGGCTTAACCACATCCTTCACTCAGTGGTTTACTTCTGTTTTAATATTGTAGAGCTATTCTAGGTGAAACACATAAACCAAAGCTGACTATATACATTACAATCTGACTGTACAACCACCTTCAGATCACCAACAACTATGTATTGGAGGGGCCTGCCTGACTGGATACAAACTGAATGGATAACTTAGGTAGGTCCTCAGATTACATACAGGATTAGTCACAAAAAAAAACTGCAGTTATATGTTTATTATCAGGATTATTCACTAAAGGGTGAAGAGTTTGGACAATGTCGGAGAAGTGAACAATCTAGGACAACATAGCTGAACTGGAAAGTGAGCTGAATTGGAGAATTTTTCCAAATCAGCTATTTTGGCCTAGATTGATCACTTCTCCGGCCTTCTCCAAACTCTTCACCCTTTTGTGAATAACCCTGATAGTTTTAGGAAATGCAAAGATTGTACATAGATTGTGAAGCCAGATTGTAACACTACAAAGGATGAACTTATAATCTACATTCCCAAACTACTAGAACTGCAGATATAACAACTGGTTTCCTAAAGCTGGCCAAACTTGTTACAATCCCATATACCAAAAATAGGTAATTTGAGGGTCTACCTAAACAATCCATTCTATCTCAATCCAATCAGGTGAGCACCATATAGCTGTTAGCAGATCTAATGGAGTTTGAACAATTAAATGGTGGTTGTATAATCAGGTTAAAATTATGCCCTGCAAAAGAAATTATTTTGGACATAGAAGATTAAAACCCCTGTTGGGGGGTTCACCAGACAGAAACAGGGTACCTTTCTCACAGCAACACAAATTGATTTTCTTTTGTTAGTAGGGGAAGGTTAGGTCCGCTAACAGTTTTTTAGTGCTGGCTGTGTTCCTGATGCAGACTTCCTTTCTGATGAAACCTGTGATTGTGAGCGAACATCAGGGGAAGTCTCTGTAAGGGCTTGATCGTGCCATATGCATAAACCTGTGTTTTTCTGCGCATGTGAAACGCAGATCTCTGCAAAACCACACAGAAAACAATTGTTTTCTATGATTGAACAATTGAATTTTGTCGAAATGTGTG